GGGACTCCCAGCGCCATACGTGACCGTGTTCTTCTAGGAGCGACCCAATACACTTCCTCCTCCACTATCACGTCAGAGCCAGGAGGGAGGGAGGGAGGGTGTGGGGAGAAAAAAAATCCAGATGGCGCAGCTGGGGATTCGAACCCGCAGCGATACAGAGGGGGCCGCAGGATGAGCGCGGGTCGGGCCACCGCACAGGGTGACTGCGGATGACAGTGCAAGCAGTACGTGGGGCCACGGCCAGGACCTGAGGCGGGCACTGACTAGAGAGAGAGGGAGAGGGAGAGAGAGAGAGAGACCCGAAATGGAGGGATAAAGTCTCAAACTTACTGTTCGCCTCAACGGCTGCGGTGCGATGGGGCAACAGTCTGCTGTTGGCGTAGGGATTTTAATTTTCGACAGAAAAAAATTTCAGGATATATTTTCCAAATCTCTTTGTTTTGTATAAAAAGTTTCATTTTTCTGGGAATATATCAAATTTCCCCTCCGGCCCAAAAAAAAAAAAAAAAAAAAAAACATTTGGCCTCTAATATTCCTGTTTTGGCGAGACTTTTTCCTGAAGTGGTCACGTGTAGGAATGCCGACACGTTTTAATTTATTTCTTCCAGTGTAACGTATTGCGTCCACGGCGGCGGTGGTGACAGCGGGCCTAAGTCGCGCCGAGGAGCGCCCCGAGCCCCTCTGGACACGACCCCCATCAGGGCCTGCTGCAGGGCCGAGGAGCGCGGCGACCCCCCCCCCCCTCCACCCTCCACCTTCAATCCCTTAGGGCCTTACAGCATAGCGCGCGAGCGCCGTGCGGGCCGTAGGCTGTTGTAAGCCTCCCCCGCCTAGCCCCGCCCCGCCCCGGCCTGGTCGCCAAGCATAAAGTAAGACAAGTGGTTATGTTTGTGTGCGGGCCGGGCGGGCCGGGCGGGCACTGAGACAGGGCTGAGAGTCTGCCCCGCCATGCCGCCCCACCGCCTTCATGACGGACACACGGAAGTCCTCTCTCATCCGGAAGTTTCCCCAAGGTGGAACGCCAAACCCTCCTAACCGCTCCCTTGTCTAAAACACGCGAGCGCGCCTACGTGACTGGCGCGCGAATTGGCCTCGTAGCCGTGAGCAAAGTCGGCTTTACGGCATCGTCTGTAAATCAGCATAATTGGTTTTTTTTGTTTGTTTTTTGTTTTTTAAACCAACAAGATTATTGTTTTTAAACGAGACGACGTACGTTCGTCATTCGGCTCTCTTAACGCCTGGTGGGTAGGCAGCATCCTGCCTGCAGTGCGCGCGTGTACTGCGGGGCGGCCTACCCCGAGTCTTGCAGGCGCCGAGCCCCCTCCGTAAATTCCGCACCGCGAATGAATCTGCGCAAAACGGGCGTTTACTTTCCGCAGACGACACCCTTTTTCGGTCCACGTTTTTTTTTTTTCCACCACCCGACGACGGTCGTTGGCTGCTCGCGCAAATGGACGCTCGGTATGGCATGACGTACGGCTGGCTGCGACAAGTGTAACGGTCCGGGCGGCTGCAGCAGCCGGGCCAAGCCTGACTCCGCGCAGCAGCAGCAGCAGCTCGCTCCGTCCCACCTCTCCCTCTCCCCTTCGTCTTTGCCAATTCGGTAAGAGAAACACTTGGCCATAAGTTTTCTTCGCGCCCTCCGCCTTATTCGCCCGGGCGGCGGGCAAGGGCACTCGAAGACCCCCCGCCCCG